TTAGCTAGACTGAGAATAACAGAATGAAGACTCAAATTACCAAAATAACAAATGCGAATGAGGATATTATTACCAATTTTATAGAAATAAAAAGGACTATAAGAGTATTATGCTAACAATTGTATGCTAACAAACGAGACCCAGGTGAGATGGGGAACTTCCTAAAACACACAAAATACCATAATGGATTAAAAAAGAGATAGAAAATAAGAATAGATTTTCTGGAAGAGATTGAATCAATCAAGTATCTCCCCCCCAAAAAAGCCTAGACCAGATGGCATCATTTGTGAAATTTATCAGACATTTAAAGAATTGACACCAATCCTTCTAAACCTCTTGCAAAAAACAGAAGAGAAGGAAATATTTCCTAACTCACTCTATAAGGTCAGCATTATTTTGATACCAAAGCCAGTCAAAGACTGCAAGAAAACTATAGCTCAATATTTCTTATGAATATAAATATGAAAATTCTCAACAAAATATTAGCAAATCAAATTCAGCACATCATCAAACTAGCAGCAGGATGAGAGAAACTTGGAAACATGATAGATAATTTTTGCTTGAAAAATGCGTCCTCTTCCATACCTATCAGAAAGGACCTGTAGGTGTATTTACATAGGACCACTGTACATACCCTTGATTTTACCCAAGGCTGTATAAATTCTTCTACTCTGTGAGAGGGTACTTGGAAGGTAACTGCACCATCCTTTCCACAGAACATCACTTTAATCCACTGTATTGGCAACTGCATGTGAATTGGGCTTAGGGAGCTAAATACTCTGGATTTCTTGATAGGATGCATGCACTCCAGAGGGTGGAAGGTAAGGCCTGCAAATATTCTGGAGCCTGCCACATCGGTAAAACTAGAAGTTTATTGGTTTGGGTTAGCTTGGTACGTGGTCTGCCAAAAATGGACTGCTTCTCCCTGGGGGATGACACTGAAAGATGGTGGCAAGGGGAAATTCAATTGGTGGAGTTTCAGGCAACACGAGAGGCTACACACATTACGTAGAAGGAAGTGGCCTGATGTTAGGGTATTTGTAGATCTATAGGCTTAATCTGAGAGGAGCAAGATCAAAGTGGTACAAGTAAGTCTTTAGGACCATAAACATATACAATTATTGTTTGTTAGGTGAAAACTAGTCTTCAGGAGAGGCATGAAGATGAATCTATGGGAGTGGACATGAAGAGAATCATCGTTTTGTAGGTTAATAGTCACTACTCACTGCAAAAGAGGCACTGAGTAACAAAGTAGACCAGTAGATGCCTGTCAGTCCCTGTGCTTGGCCATCACTGTACTCACTCAAGGGCTTGGGAGCAAGGGTGGTTACGATGGCAGAGTGGGAGACTGTATATGGGCCCCAACGCTGGCTGACTAATGCTGCTGCATGTTCAGTAGAGATCAGCACAGAACCCCAATGTCTAATATCTTTTGAGGAGACCTTGGTGGCAAATTGATCACACTGGTCTATCCCATCCTCAAAAGCATGTTTTATGCTTTGAGTGCAAACAATGTGTTGGAGTATGTTCTGGCTCTGGGCTTGCCTTTCCTGTCTGCAGTGACTACAGTGCAGAGCACCAGTCTCCAGAGCCACCCGGTTTTTGTTCTATTGATACTGGATCTTACAAAACATCACCTCAGATCAAGGCACTTATTTACAGCCTAGACATACACTGGTGGCATACAGCTATTGCTCCCACTAGACATTACATGGCCCAGAAGCTACTGCTCCAAAACAGCAATGAAAGACCTCTTAAAGACCCAGCCAAGTTGTGAGTTTGGAGGTGACACCCTATTGGGATGGGACCCTTCAGGATGTGGTATACAACTCAATTGTCAACATACAGGTCTGTATCCCATGTCCAGGAGTGGATATAGGAGTGCCTGCCTACTGACATACTTGGGAATTTGCTTCCTGTCTGCAACTGTAGGTTCTATAAATGGAGGTCTTTGGGGAGTAGAGGTTTTCCATTAAGTGACATAGTCAGTTTCACAAGAACATAAAGCCATGGTTGCTTCCTTAATTCTCTATGTGCTAGTAAACTGGCTAGTGAAGAATTAGCATTGTGAAAAGACGTAATTGTCCCTGATCAGAATTAGGAGGAAAGGACGTTGGTATGTAATAGAAACAGGGAGGGATACATTTAGGACTGTTGCCAATCATTTGAGGGTTCTTTTGGTCAATTCAGCTAGAAACCATGAATCAGCAAAGTACAGCGGGGTTATCAGTTCTGATGCCACTGGTTGACACCAATTAATGCTGGAGGCCATTAGGTCAGCACTATCAGGTTCTGGTCTATGCTGCTGGCCATCGCCATTTGATGCTGGCTTGTGCTAGATTCCACTGACTGACTCTGCTGGGTGCTGGTCACTGGACCTCCTCAGGGCTAACAGGCCCTACTGTTTATGGCTCTCTTTTTTAAAGCAACTACTCTGTCCAAACTACTCAGGGTAAGAGTGCCAAGTAGATTTACAGGACCTTCTGAGTTCACACTAACCAAGACAAATCATGAGCAGATTTTAACAGGACCTGTGCAGCATCACAGAGGGGTCATTACACACCAGAAGGGACCTCCTTACACTAACCTGAAAAGTGTGAGGACAGTGCTGCTTATACAGTAGCTGCAAGCCTGTGATTGGTCCAAGTGTAGGCTTCTGATTGGTTCAAATTTGGGCCTGCTGATTGGTCCAGGTGCAGGCAGGCCTCTGATGGTGCAAGTGGCTATAGCACATCTAGGACCAATGTGGCTGTCGTGACAGTTTGACAAAATGTTAGGCAGTTGCCAATTGCTTAGTTAATAGCTGTTTCATCTCCATGAAAAATGGCGGGGTTAAAACAGGAAATCTTCAGGAGGCTATGTTCATCACAGCTTAATGAGACTTGGGAAGGTTGGGGATCTTAACAATGGGCCCAGATTCTGCCTGCCATGATCTTAGTCATACTGGGGCCAAGCATCTGGAGTGGTGACAGCTGGGGAAAAGTGCCACTGTCAAGGGCTGAGCTGCACTTCCTTTCAGAGTGTCCCAGAGAATGGCTGTGATGGGTGGCATGAGGACACCGAGGCAAGAGGCAAGATGTCCCAGTTCATTCTCTAGGGCCCAAGGGAGAGCAAAGCGAAGCGAGGTGATGGACAGAATAGCTGTGGTCCAAACCACACCTCCTTCTCTGCCCAGCACAGGAAAAGGTGGACAGCTAGGCACTTCTTTTCTGTATCAGTGCTTAGGTGACCCATATTCTTAGTACTTCCAACCACCAGGTAAACCACACAGACCAGCAGAAGTGCTAGCCAGAAGGTGGTGGTAGAAAAGGGAGATGTATTTCAGTTTCTAAAAGGGTCCAACTGCAGAGAGGGGTCTGGTTTTCCTTTTGTGCTGATTGCCTTCCCAGAACTTGTGTCCCCAGTAAAACAAACTTGGGGAAGCTGTCTTACAGTTAGAATGAACTGTTTAAGCAGGTGGATCTAAGCAGTATGTTGGCCGTTGATGCTCTTGGCACCCTTCCTGTGCACTATCTCCTGACTTCTCTGAGTGTTGATGGATAAAACTCACAGCTGCCTTCCTCCCTAGTGGAGCTTTGGAGCCACTTCACCCTGGAGGCTATAAGCTGCCTCATTAACCTCACACTCTTGGCTGGCTGGCACAAGAGGTCCTGGTCTTGAGGTTGGACAACTTTGGAGCCATTCGTACTCCAGAGCTTTCCTGAGAATGGGGGTAGATTGAGTTGCCCGCCCGCTGAGACTATAACCTTGCTCAGCTTCTCACCTCCTGCACTCTCTCCTCCCCTTACTCATCTAAGAATGATCCCAGTAAGACATCTGAATAATCACCTTCTCAGATTCTGCTTTTAGCAAGCATGATTTTAAAAAAAGTCATGTAAAATCAAAAGATAGTGAATTTTATTTATTATTTTATTTTCAGTACTGGGAATTGAACTCAGGACCTTGTGCTTGCCAGGCCCTTGCTTGTGAATTTCAGTGAGTGATGTTAATCTTTTTTTTTTTTTTTTTTTTTTTTTTTTTTTTTTTTGTGAGTGATGTTAATCTCAACAAAGCTATTTGCATTAAAAAAAAAAACCTTATTGGGCTGGAGGTGTAGCTCAGTGGTAGTACTCGCCTAGGTTTGACCCCTGGTACTACAAAACATACATGGTTTGTGTCTAAATGTCCCCCCAAAGCCCCATGCAGTGAGGGGTGGGGTTCTGCAGTTTATGATAGATTCATGGTCCAACACTAGGATTACGGGTGTGAGCGCTACACTTGCCCTGGAGTGGGTAGTGTGCATACAATATAAGGGAGGGAAAGAAGTTTGCTCTCTGTGGTTCCTGCTTTTTCGCTTTTGCCGATTTCCACCACCATGAACTGTTGCCCTCTGCCATGTGCCACCCTGCCTTGGAGCCAGGTGAGTATGAACTGAAGCCTCCACAAACTGCGAGGTAAATAAACCTCTCCTTCCTTAATTTTGGGCATCAGCAACAGGAGAAAAAGTAACTAAGACATTAACCCACCCCACAGGTTTTGGTCATTTACAATTACTAAAGCTTTCTTTCTTTTTCTCCTTCTTTTCTTTCTTTTCCTTCCTTCCTCTCTTCCTGTCTCTTTTTATCTTTTTCTTCTTTCTTTTCTTTCTCTCTGTCCTTTCCTTTCTTTTTCTTTTAAATCTCACTTCCTTAGTGCATTCCTTAAAAAGGTGGCTCCATAGCACAATGGACAGTGCATTGGACTTCTTAAAAACATTGGTCAGGTAAAGTCTAGGTTGAACGTGTGAATATCACTTATTTAAAGTGGAATCATTTGTGTTCTGGGGCTCCAAAAAGAATACCTATACTTTTTAAATCAGTAAATTCCTCTGAAATGGTCCCCTTTATGGCCAATCAAAAAGCAGGGATCTGAGTAATATGGTCAGTCAAGAGTTAACAGTGGCAGATCATGGCAGTCTCCCTCATTAATGTGGTTGATGATTTTTTTCCTTAGTGTACATTCACCCAGAAAGAACACACATATTGTATTTCAATTTTTACTGTAAAAAAAGACTAACAAAATAAATTAATGACAATAATGCAAATAATGCCACAGATGGTGATAAGAACATATTATCAAGCCATAGCTCCCATGGAGGAGAGGAAAGGCAACTTTCCTCTACATGCCTCAGCCATGATCACTCCAGTAGGCAGTGATCATCTCTTCCTAGAGTAATGGAGGAGACCTTTCTCTGCTGACAGAGGCTCTAAAGGGAGCTGTTCTGAAAACCTTTTTGTTTTTTTTAATATTGAAAATCATTTTTTTGTAATCCAAATAGGTATTCCTTGTGGTGTGGCTGTACAATCTGATGTTTGCCAACAGTAATGCCTGTGTGTGACCAAATACAGCTATACCCTACAGCTGCTTTAACTTAATTTAAATGGAAAACCTGTTCCTGTAACGTTTACCTGAACTACCAGATCTCCTGAAACAGAGTAGGTGCTTAAAAAACTGCAATCTGTTTGAAAACTTCTTTTAAAAAGTTGGCTGTTAAAAGTTGCAGGGGAAAAAGAACAGAGCCTCACACATTCTGCAGTGGGGAAATGGTGTAACTGGGGATAAGCAATCATTCTCTTAGCAGAAGTACAAGAAATAGTCCCTGGTCAGTTTTGGGAAGAAAAAACCCAACCATTTGAAAGTCTGTTTACTAAAGAGACACACAACATTCCTGGATTCTCTCCACTGTTGGTTGGGGTGGGCAGGGAGGTGTGAAAGACACCAATCCCTAATTCAAGTGGGACTTCATGCTTGTCCAGGATGTGCCAGTGCTGACCTCCTCCTGTACCACAGAAGTGGGACTGTAGGAGGCTGAGCAGGGGTGGCTTGGAAACGTTCTCCATTCAGAGCTTGAGGGGTATTCCCAAGTCAGATTCCCACATCAGCCACAACAGGCTGCTCTCTGGTCAGGCGAGGGACAGGCTCTTGATCCTGCCACTGTGCGCTTGGTCTGGTTCATCTTCCTCTTTCTGCTCCAACTTGAAGTTCTGTGAACAAGGTCACAGGTGAGCATTTGCTCAACAGTAGTTCTGATCCACTTAGAGGTGGCAAAGGAAGGCAAAGCCCACTCGATGTGGTTATATTCCACATCTCTGAAGTGAATGCCTGCTTTTTCTACCCCACCCTAAATTAGACCCCCACCTACCTCGAGCTCCTCCAAAACCTCATCCATGAAGTCCTGGGAATTCTGTTTGTAAGACACAGCTAATCGAATTGCATCATTGAAGAGCTGGGGGTTAGATGGAGATTATGGCAGCAAGGAGGAGGGCCCCGGGCCCCCCTAAAACTGGCAAGCTCATCCTTCGGTTTACCTTCTCCTCATTAACCCGACCCCATGCGCAATGGATTTCTTCCTCATCAAGCCCAGGCCCTCCCGTGGCACACATCCATTTCCTGTCCTTCCCATCCCTCCCCTTCACAGCCTCTCTGTAAGTGTACCACCTCGCAGACTACCTCTGAAATTGATCATTACCTTCACAACGTTGGTACCATCAGCAGCTGAGACAAAGTACAGGGGCAGGGAGAATTTCCTGGCAAAATTGAAGCTCTTTTGGGTCACTTGTAGGTCTGCTGTAGAAAGAAGTAGGACATTGGCCTGTCCATCCAGGGAAAAGGAGAGGGGTTTGGAGGGAGAGTTAGTGGAGACCCCAGGCCAGAAAGCGGAATAGAGACAACTAGGGAACATGTCCTCAGAAGAGTTAACAGGGATCTGTGTCTTGGGAAGAGGGAGGGTTGGCTCAGCTGAATCGTTACTGGGGAGGGGGCATCTCCAGAAGGAGGACAAATACTGAAGGTTGCCCATGCCAGGAAGGGAGGAGGAAATGTGTGCAGTGGGTCCCCACAAATCGCTTCACCCAGATGCAGGGATGGCCCCACCATCAATTTTGTTGGCTACCACGATGCATGGGATCTCTGGCCTGAACTCTCGAAGCTCTGCATACCAGGTGCTCAGGTTTTTATAGGTGACTTTCCTCTGTACATCAAAGACCTGCAAAGGGCAAAGGCAGACAGCTTGGGTGTGTCAGTGTCTCTGCACGCCACCACACAGATAAATTATACACCCAGGCAGGTGAATGTGAGCACATGACACAGGCTAGCAACTTAGACCAGCAGCCTCAGAAGAGGGTGCGAAAGGAACTAATGGACAAATCACATATAGGTCACTCTTAGAAAAGAGGAAAGCTCAAATACCAAATGCCAGTGCAGGAATAAAATGAAAATGTCTAAAACATACTTCCTTGTTCCTGAGGGGTCAGGAACAGGCCCTACCACATGGCCCCTTGGGCCTTGCAGCATCACCCTCTTTTGTGTAGTATTCTTAGTTATAAGTATTGAAACTTTGCAAACTCTCAAGAGCTTCAGGACTTAAGAGACTGTGGGAGGAGTCCGGTGATGAGCCCTGCAAATGGTCAGGAGGGAAAACTCCTGTCTCCCCACTGTGCCTACCAGCTGGTAAGCGCCTGTAGATAGCACCTGTTTCTTTCCACCCTGGCACCTTGCCTGTGCACACCACAGGCAGAATCCATGTGTCAGAAGTGGTCAGAGTGCTATGGGTGTACTCAGGAAAGAACAATCTTAATGACGAAACATCAGAGGAGGCTGTGTGGAGCTGGTTGCATATATACAAGGCTTGAAAAATGAGAAGCATGGGGCTGGGGATTTAGCTCAGCAGCAAAAGCGCCTGCCTGGCAAGCGCAAGGTCGTGAGTTCGGTTCCCGGTACTGGAGAAAAACCAAAAAAAAAAAAGAGAAGCGTTTTAGGTTTCCCCTCAGCGCTATCCCTTATAGATAAGAAGACACCCACTCAGGGCCAGAGTAAGCTTATGTATACTATAGGCAATCACAAGTTGGGGGTAGGCTACGAAGAGCCAGGGTAGATTTTACATACCAATAATGATGGCAACTTATCCACCCTGAGAGCAGCACCTGCTCACTCCCTTTGTGACTACAGCCAGAGTGAAACCATGTGACTTCCAGGATCAGGCCACAGGAAGACTGTGACTCCCACCTGGTTCTCCTTGGGTGCTCATTCCTAGGATCTGGAAGCTATTCTTCGAGCAAGCTCACATCAACCCACACTGACAATGTGCACAGAGATGCATGCAGCAAGACCTGCTGATGGCCCATCCAGCTGGGTGTGTGGAGAGGCCTAGTACCCAGCCTGAGGTTCTTCTCAGCTGAGGTCCCAGACCTTGGGGATTCCTCACCCAGCAGAAAATGGTTGTTCTGTGTCACCAGGCTTTGAGTTTTGTGTGAAAGCAAGATTTCGAATGCTTGTTCCAAGAAGTTTGAATGTCTGAGATTTTCACTTGATGACAACTGGTAGGGCTCATAATTCAGAAAACTAGTCTATTGGGCTGGAGGTGCTCCTCAGTGATGGACTGAGGCTAAGCCCTGGGTTCAGCCCCCAGTACAAAAAAAGAAATGAAAAGACTCAAACCAATCTATTATTTCTCGTGTTATCGATGGCTAAGGTTTATGAAAATGTTTATGTGGACCAAAAGAGAAAACACTCTTCTTCAGTGTCTTAAGACTGCGAGTCTAAGAAATGACACAGGCATTCATGAGCAGGAACTCTGAGAGGACATGGGAGGGAGGTGTGGGACAGTCTGAATGAGAAAGGTCCTTAGGAAGCAGCAGGCAACAGTGGAGGGAGGCCCTGAGAGCTCCCCAGAGAGCTGAGCTCAATTAGGGAGGGGCCATGGCTTTCTCAGCCGGGTTTCCCTCTTGAGCATTATGTGTGGACACCTGAGCTTGTCGCACTCCCTAGGTAGTTCTTTACCTTTCCTTTGCCCTTCCTTACATGGCTTGTCCTCACATAAAAGCTCTCCGGAGCATGTGGGTTTGAAGCATCCCTGGTAGTCCTCATCCCCTCTCCCAGAGCACCCAGCTTGGTTAGGAGGCCCTAGGACTGCTGAACCACTTGTCTCCTCCACCCTCAGGCCACATTTGCCCAGCGCCTTTGTCCACCTCCCAGCTGGTCTCATACCATGATGCAGGCGTGGGCCTTGTGGTAGTAGGAGGCATGCATGCTCTGGAACCGCTCCTGGCCTGCCGTATCCCAAAAGTCTGCAACATGAACATAGCTATAATTGCCTGATTAGGCTGGAGGGCACAGACCCACATGTCCCAAGGGTTTCTGAGCATGTCTCTGTGTATAGAAACAAGATACACATGTGGTGCAGCCATAGCATGTGAGGACATGCTGGGAGCATGTCCTCAGGACAGAGTGCCTGGGGGTGCTATGAGAGATATGTTATGCTGATGGGTAGGGGAGGACCCAGGGCCAGGGGCCAGTGGGGAGGATAATGCAGACTATTCAGCAGGTCCCCTCATCCCTATATTCTGTGTATGGTGACCACAGATATGGTTGACAATTAGCCTGGCCAAGGTAGAGTTGTGACCTCACACATGGTCAAGTCCAGTGTGGGAGATAGTGAGCTGGCTGCATCTGCTATTTCTTTACTGTCTGAATGAGAAACCCTGAAATAAGATACTGCCTGTCCAAGCACTCTGTGCTCTACAGCAAACTCTGGCAGGATAGCTTCTCAGTATTTACTCATTTTCTTTCTTCTTTTCTTTTTCTGAGACGTGGTCTTATTATGTAGTTCAGGCCAGCCTTGAATTTGTTACGCAGCCAAGGCCGGCCTCAAACTTGCAATCCTCCTATATGAGTCTCCTAAGTGCAGGGATTAAGGCATGCGCCACTACGTTCAGTAAGTTTGCTTTTCTCAACACTGCCCTATGCACTGGTCCTCTCTATCTCAGTGGGTATGCCTCCTCTTCCCTGGCCCTAGCTCCCCCTTTTCCACCCTCCTGATTCCATTCCAAGGACCCCCTCCTGAGTTTCTTCCCCTTGAGGCCAAGTGTGGCCTCTGTCCGTGCTGCTCACCTACGAGGATGGTCTTGCCGTCCACGGTGGCTGTGTGCTTATACAGAGTCAGAGCATATGTGGACAGCTGCTGTGGCTGACTACACCCAGGTTAAGGAGTAAAATGAATAAAAGGGAAGTTAGGAAGGCATGGATGCGGCTTTTGTAAGATGAAAAGGAAATCCTACGCTAGGCAGCAACATGACTGTTCCATGGAAAATATCTCCAACCGGTCAGAAAGCTGACAAGATAGCAGCTGATAAGCTGTTTATAAGCTGATACTAGCTCAAAGTCCAGGGGGTAATGCCTCTTGAAGCTGACAGACCTCAGCCGTGGGGTTCCAGGGCAAGAAGCAGTAGGCTCTATGGGCTTTCTTACCTGTAGTCTTCAGTGCCCCATCAGGGAAGCTTTTAAAAAGTCTTCCAGTTAGGTGGGCATGTTGTTGCACACAAGTGATCCCAGCTATGTGGGAGGCTGAGACAATAACATCTCAAGTCTGAGGCTCGCCTGGGCAACTTACAAGACCCTTTCATAATAAAATTGAAAGGGATGGGGATGTCACTCAGTGGTAAAGCATTTATATGTGTGAGGCCCAGGGCTCAATCCCCAGCACCATAAAAACAAACAACAGACAAGAGAGCCAAAACTTCTCAGTTGCAGGGAGAGCCTCATTTCAAACTTGTACAATATAATAATTTATGGGAGAAGGGAGACGTGATAACTCATATTTTACAAAGTTCATTCATACAAGAGACTTTTAAAAGTCATATTAAGGGGCTTGTTCTTTGAGGTTAGAGATTAGGTGACTTGCCCAAGTCAGAGATATGAAGGAGGAGGATTTGAATTCAGGCATATAAGACAGACAAGGTGTTCTTAGCCATTCAGATAACTCTAATATATGATAAACTCAAATATGAGTAAGCTCCAAAACAGCAGTGACTGTGTGATGTCATGGGGGTCCACTGGAGAGAAGACAGTGTAAAGGAAACCTGTACATTCATTTACTCATTGCTCCTTTCCGGGCTGCTGGTGCAAAGGGGTGGGCAATACTGTGAGCACGTGCACATGGGAGGAGCCACACGGACAAGGGGCATCTCAAATAGTAAAGGATACAATCCGTCCATGAGAAATCTCTCCATAAGCCTGTAAGAGAATATACAAGGTCAGAGGGCATCCCTATCTCCTCTTTACCCCTACTTTAACAGGCCCTGGCTGACAATATGGAAGCCACAGACCAATTTCCAGCCAGTTTCCAGGTCAAGTCCCCAACTTGGAAATCATCATTACCAGCCTCTCGTAGCAAAAACACTCCTGTCTATGAACACGCAAACCACCCAGGTAGAGATTTCACATCCATTATTTCTACCTCAGCATACTTTAGCACATGTAATTACTTCTGTTTTATACACGGGCAACCTTAGGCCAAGAGGGCTGCACCCTCCACATAAAAGCCATTCTGTAGGTCCTCAGAGCTTGCTCAACATGTCACCTAAGCAGTGAGATTGTCTCTGACAACTCTGTAATATGGAAGTAGTTCTACCCATCACACACTCCTCCATTTCTCTCTGCAATGAACATAACAGCAACTGAAATATTCGGTATTTAACTTTACTATCTCTCCGCTGGAATGGAATGTATATCAGAGCAGCTGTCAGATTAGTAGTTTACTGCTGTATCCCCACAGCGTAGGGTAGTGCAAAGATATGTGGTGCTTAGTAATAAATGTGAATGTGAGCAAAGCTAGCAAGCTTAATGTAGCACATATCCTCAAACCCAAGGGTACCCTTGAATCTTCTTTTAGCTTTCACACTGACCAACAATTAGGCCCTGTAATACATCTAAAAAATCAAAAGCCCCAAACAATATTCCTTACACCAAACACCTGCCTCATCATGCCTTCCTCAAAAAGCTTATCAGGATGTACAAATAAAAGATCCAAACCAGGTTTTAACATCTCTGTAGTTTAAAACTAAAATATAGTCAAATATGTAACACCACTTACAAGTAACTTACTTGTTAGAAAAGAATTCCTGAACTTTAGAACAAAAGAAGGGCTGGGGATATAGCTCAGTGTCATAAGTACCTGCCTGGCAAGCGAGTTTGATTCCCGGTACCAAAAAAAAAAAAGAAGAAAGAAATTCCCCAACATTGAATGTCAAGTAGATTAATTAATTGAGGTTATTAGCTTCCTGTACGTGGCATGTCTTTATTCTGCCTTTTTCCCCTTTCGCTCCTCTTTACCCCTCATGCTTTTTCCCTTGGACCACTTCCCTATTGCAAGGAATTCATCTCCTAGTCCCTTCTACCCATCCTTCATTATTCTCTTTGTTTGTAATTTGCCTCACTCAAATGAGAGACACCATAAGGTATTTAAGCTTGTGTGTCTGGTTTATTTCACCCAACCATTATCTTTTCCAGATCAATAATATCAACAAGAGGGCCAGTTGTGGTGGCACACATCTGTAATCCCAGCACTCTGGAGGCTGAGGCAGGAGGGTGTGAATTTGAGGATAGCCTGGGCTACAAAGTGAGTTCAAGGCCAGCCTGAACTGCATAGTGAAACCTTATCTCAAAAAGACAAAAAAACCCCAAGAAACAGAAACAAAAACAAACCCAAAAAGAATGAAAAACAGGACAGGGGAATGGGGGCGGGGGAGGGGTTAAACAAGACAAAACAAAACAAGCTGTGGTATGTACATGTAACCACTCCCCAAAATGACTGTAAGCTGCATGAATTGCAAACATGTACTAATAAAAAAAATTATTAAAAAAAGAATATAGACTAGAAAAAATGAGAGAGACCCAGGTACTTATGGGTCTATAAAATGACATTTTTTTCACTGAAATCTCAGGAGGAAAAGAAAGAAAGGATCAGGCTGAAAAACTGAAGAAACTCGTACCTAAAATCTTCCCAAATTTTGCAAAGTCAAGAAAATGACTTTGTGTGATTCTGCGTAAATCATAAATGAAGAACCCAAAGAAATTTACACACAAACAGAGCATGGTCACTTCCTAAATTGTAAAGGCAAAGAAAAACCTTTGGAAGCAATCAGAGAGAAGCAAAATTGTACCTACAGGGTAAAAACCATTTGAATGACAGAGGCAGTAAAGAAGTATTTCTCAAGTAATGAAAGAGAGGAACTGCCAATCCAGTACCGTAAATCCAGTGAAACTCTAAAAAATGAAGGAGACTCAAAGGTTTTTTTTTCATATAAAGGAAAAAGAAGATAATTTGTTTCCAGTAGACTACCTTAAAAGAATTGCTAAAGGAAATCTTGAAAACAGAAAAGAAATAAGAAAAAGAAGGAATCTTGGAATATCAGCAGGGGAAAAAAGAAGAGGGTTAAGAAAAAGATATCAGAAAATACAATTTTTTTCCTGTCTGTTAAAAATTTCAAAGCATTTTAGATGGTTAAAGCAAGAATTATAACAACATTTGGTGAGCATTCTCAATTATGTAGAGGAAATATTGAAGACAAATAGGGGAAGGTAAAGGTGTAGAAAAGGAGGTAAGGTGTAGACACTTTACTCCAGCTGGTGTCAACTTTTCAGCAGACTGAAAAGTTACATATATATAACATAGTACTGAGAACAAGTGTAAGAGCTATATAAAAAAAGTATCATCAATAATACTATAAATAGCCGGGTGTGGTGGTGCAGGCCTGTAATCCCAGCACTTGGGAGGCTGAGGCAGGAGGATCTTTGCCAGTTTGAGGCCAGCCTGGGCTACAAAGTGAGCTCAAGGCAAGCCTGAACTGCATAGCTAGACCCTGTCTCAAAAAGACAAATAATAATAACAATAAT